TAATTCTGCCCTTACAATTACATAACAATGATCTGTCCTTGTGCTGCATTTGTGACCTGTCTTAGTACTGTCTAGGTCTGTGTGAGTGCTTTCTGATTTGTAGTTTTCAATCAGTGATAATGTACTTCTGATATTTTTTTTCAGGTAAGTTAAAGACAGCTCTTACTCAGTGAAAGCTGGATTGGGTCCAGCCTGCACAGGATAAGCAGGTATAGAAAATGAATGGATGGAGACACAGCGAGAGAGAGAGAGAGCAACTGTGTACATCCAAGTTCTTGTAACTGTTAGCCCTGAAGAATAAACTGAATGAATGAATTAGTAATTATTAGAATTATTCCCTGTGCAGACTGTATTAAACATATGTGTATCATGTTTTGTTTTTACTGTGTTGGCTCTGTACAGCAGCACATTGGCTTAAACAATGAGACTAAAAGTCATTTTTTACTTTAATTAGGAGGGTATTTACACCCATGGATGAACAGTGCATGATCTGTAGCTCAGTCACTCAGCTCCAGCTCTGAAAAAAACGTTTGGGTCTATCTCTAAAAGGGGTTGTGATTCCTACCAAACATCCCCAAACACACCCAGTGAGCACTTTAACCTGAGCAACTGTTTAAATTGAAATCAAATGTGCTTGAGCCAAAACAGTCAAAATATCCTTTTTTCAAATACTTACTCCTATTATTTTTAACAAGATCCTTTATGTAACATGTATTATATCTGTTTTTTTTTTTTAAGATAATCATTTAAATAATTATTACAGCCATAAAAATCAAACTGGATTAAGAATGTTTAAAAATAAAAAAGACTCTAGAACCAGGATGTGACCAAAGGATGCACTACCCCTATTTTGAGAACCAGATGGTACATCCCAGTCTCTCCTCCTCTCATTCTCCTCCCTCCTGCTTTCAGTGTCCTCCATCTCTCCGCTTCCTCTGATTTTCTTATATTAAGGACATTCTGACTTCCAGAGACTGCTGCTTCCTCCTCAACCTGTCATTCTTGACGTCTCTGCAGCACTGTTGGAGAGGTATGTAATATCCATATTTCTTCTTATTACATCACTGCAGGATTTAATAGGAGGCATTTTTTGTAAAGATGTGTCCATCCTACATTCTGTAAAGTGCAAGCTGCCATGATGTGTTCATTAAATACCAGTAGTATTTACTCCTCTTCATTCTTTCCCCTCATTTGCGTTTTCACTGATTTCCTCTATCGCAGTCACTGTGGTTCTGATTTCTCTCCTCCATCTTGTCCTCCGTTTATAGCACATATGACTCATGCACTTTTAAAGTGGGAGAACAGAGAGCAAGCCATGGAAAGAGATTGAATCTTTCTGTTATTTCGTCTGGAATAGGCTCTTGTCTGGGTCAAAGGAATATAGATTCAGTCCTTGACTATGAATAGGCTCTGCAGCTGCAGTACCATTCTCCCTTCCTCCATTACAAAACTAACAGATTGTTCCATGAAAAAGCTTTGAACAGGAAGCAGCCGTAACATTATGTCTTCAGTTGACGATTATGTCACAGCTGTTGTGACCAAAATAAACAATTCCCTGTCCTTCTGAGCATCGGAGTGTTCCCATCAATGTCATCTTTTTCCAAGGTCACATTTAAGGCCCCACTGCCACATGACTGCTTCACTGCTGTACAGTGAATACATTGATATTAAGGGCTCTCTCATATGTCAGTCTCTACAGTCAACAGAGCAGATAACATGATGTCTGAGCCTAATTTAGAGGGATAATCTGGCTGTGTTGGTTTGCCGTTTTTCCTCAGTGAAGCAGCACAGAGCTGACCTTATAAAGACTCCTCCTGACCAGACCACACCTCTGCCTCTGAGTCCATGGAAGCCAAGGCCAAGTCCGGAGCTCCAGCGCCCAAGGCAGCATCTAAAGTAGAGAAGAAGGAGCCGGCAGCCCCACGCAAGGCTGACCCTGCACCTGCAGCCCCTGAGCCTGAGCATCCTCCTTCCCAGGATGGAGCAGCAGAAGCTGAAGCTGCAGCAGCAGGTGATGAGGCTGCGGCCTGTGGCACAGACTCTCTGGAACACCTGAAACCCTTTCTCATTGGTGGTGCCGTTATTGCTGCAGGAGCCATCTTGCTGGGAGTGTTGCTACTGGCGAGGAGAAATTAGAGTGTCATTGCTGATTGGTTCACAGACTACCATGGTACAAATGGGGGATGGGGAGCCACTGTGCAAATTACGTTGTTTTTTTTTTGTCGGCTTGCTTTCACTTGTAGTGAATCAAACCATTCAAGTTTTGATCAAGGCTGTATATGGAGCATAATTACACATAGCATATGCATGAAGTTGCTTAAAAACTGCATCTGAACTCTAATAATCTATTTCTTAAAAAAAACAACAAAAAAAAACCTCACTGTAGTACTGAGCTTAAAGGCCTAAACTCTCTAAAGGTAGCTTATTCAACTACTTTATCTTATTTAATCCAGTTTGCACAAATATTGACATAATCTTGCAATATTTGTACATTCTTGCACCGGAAAAGAGCTTGGTTCACTTTACGAAAAGATCATGAAAACTGTATTCATAATGTTGAAACTTATAGATATACTATAATACTGGTTATCAGAGTTGTTGTAGGTTTATTTTACTTTTAAATAAGACAGAGTGAAATGATAGGCCTGAAAACAGGTGGGAATATGCATTATGATTGATTGCACATATTTTGGCAACATTAGTGCCTAACCGAATGGAATAAGTTTGTCTTTCTTTAGAGTACCCGAATAGAGACACTGCATCCCTACATATCCAAAAAATGTCAAATAGAGAACGGTACAGAGCAATTTAAAGGATAAACCTTTATAGAGACAGAAAATATAAAGCATGCAGTGATTTATGGATAGGATGTAGGGGATAAAACACGTATAGTATGTGACAGAGAAGAATGGTGAAGTTATTTGCTGCTGTAGAATAAGAAAGAGTTTTATTTTACTTTCAAATGATGTCAGAAATCAATAACCTTTCATGTCTTACACAATAGGCACAGTCGTGCTGGTTCAATCTGTTTACATCTTACAGTAGATATTTAGCTGTAGCAGCCTTTAGAGTTGCAGTATCAGGTTTAAAACTTGTTGCCAAAACATGGGAGTTATTTCTGTTTTTGCTTTGCTCCCCATATGTGGCTATAGGGAAAAACATGATCTTGTTTTCAGAACCTCATTAATAACAAAGTACAACTATAATGTAAGGCGCATCCTAGGTTGCTAATACAATGACAGTGAAGTGTAGAAGAACTACTGCTGTACAGTTTACTCAAAGGAAAAAAAATGCCAAGCAGTCACAATTCTGTTGCTGCATACACTCACCTGTACAGCTGTACACAATATTATCCACTCACATGTAAAGCTCATGGGTCCCTGTTGCATACATAGATAGCAAAGAGACAGTTCTGACATAAATCATTACTTGATTTTAGTTGTAAGGGTATATGAACGCCTTACCGACCACATATATTGTACGAACATACCACATTCACCACCCGAAACACATCCAAAAGATAGTATGCCAACACCAAAACAAACTTCACCTTACATTGTACAATACAGTGTACCAAAAAAAGAGAAAAATCCTATTTTCATAAATTCAACAGCGTATAAATGCAATAATTCAGATAGGACTCATCATTTAGCACATGTGCTGTAGCAAGTTAAATTACATAAATGATGATGTAATAATGTTGTTGGTGATTATGATGTATGATGTTAGTGACGGCAATGACGGTGATGTTACAGATGATGATGGTAATGATGATGTTTTTCATGGTGACTGTAATGAAGATAATGATGGTTATGATATATTTTTGATATATTTCTAACATTTCCTTATGCACACTCTCTATGCCCCCCAACTCCTTAATGTAAAAAAAGGAAAGAGGTTGTAGTCCAACCTTTATTAAAGGCAGTGAACCAGCCCAAGTGAGTATTTCTTTGATAATAATTGCATTCTTTATTCAAAGTTATTCAGAATTGGTGATTTGCAGATAGCTGCAAACAGCTCTATGAATTAACTAGAAGTGAAATTGTCTTTAAGTTAAACGGACCATTCATTTGAGTTAGTGTAATTAATTTATAGTGTCAGACAATATAATTGTAAGGATATATGTCTTAATCTTAAAGCTACTCCACTAAATCTTTGCATCCCATATGTGGCTTATTTTCTGTATTCTGTGATTTATGTTGAATGCTTTTTGTTCCAATCTACATTTCTATTTTTTAAATATATGATTTCAGTTCACAATCCTCAAAATTCAAACATTTAAAATGTTTAAAGGCTAAAAATTTGGAGACACAGGCTTTGCATCTGACAACAGCAACAGAAATATGTTATCTATATAATATCCAAATAATACCCACTGTAAAATGAAACCTTTCATGTTTAAAAAAACTGTATTTAATTATCTTACAACACAGTGCTTCTGTAAAATATCTTGCAGCAGTCAGAACATGTCTAAATAACCACATGTAAAGCATACTTTCTAAATATATTTACGTGTTTGTGTAAATATAAAAACATTGATAATTGTTATGTGGTTATTTTTACCCTCAATGATCGATATCTACACTAGTACAGCTCTATTGTCCTGTGTGAGCTGTGCTGAGAGTTTGTTGAAGTCACTAAAAGAATACACACAAAATCATAAAGATATAGGCAGTAACCAGTACAACAAGACTCCAGCGAGTCTGGGAGATGTTAAAAAAGTATGCACAGTCAGTCTGTGCTGAACACACTCTTACAGCTCTGCTGTCTGCTCAGCCAAAATGAGTGAAAACAGCATTGCACAAGATTGTAGAATGGTTGATGTTGACTCAACTTCATGGTCATTTTGGAGGTTGCAGTTGGTTGTGCTGCTAGATGTTTCAAATACTTTGTCCATCCCATTTAAATCAATGAGGCTGTGAATAATAAACGGTTTCAGTTTATCAGTAAACATTTAAGGAAGTTGTGCTTTAATTTTGAAGGATGTGAACCGGAAGCCTTCTTACTGTTGTTGCAGCCGGTGCAAACGAGGGAAGTCGCCATCACTTTCTCGTTGCTAGTTTCTCTCAGAATAACATAACAAATTTAAAGCTTCAGGTAAACTAGCCTTGTGACGGTGAGTAGACAATATGACATTTTTAGACTTTGTGTTCCGACTGGTAAATAACTAACTGTGTCAAGAAGTTACTAGCGGCTAACGTTAGCTAACAGTATAATGTTGTGCTAATCGCGTGGCTACAGTCTATGGGCGAGCTTAAACCGTGTACCTCTAAGTTCAGATGCTACTGTAGCTAAAGACTTATTTTTGTGTTAACCCTTTTAATCAAAACGTTCCCATTAATGCCAAGTTCTGTTCTTAGAATCTTTGCAAAAACACTGAAGTTAGTAATCCGACACAATACTAGCTAAAACGTAGTGTTTAGCGCAAACTGCTCAAACACATCAATGTCACCAAAAATGTTACTTGTATTAGCATTAACCAGTTAATTGATACTATTTAGGTAGTTACCTTGCTAGCGTGACAATCATTTCTCTGATAGTGATGTTAACAGAACGATGTGCCCGTCTCCAGGTGATCTACAATGATAATCCCTATCCGGTGCTTCACGTGTGGGAAGATCGTGGGTAACAAGTGGGAGGCATACCTCGGCCTACTCCAAGCTGAGTATACTGAGGGGTAAGTTAATATCCTCTGGTTTCGTTAGTAGTTGTTGTTTCTGGTAGTGTGTCAATTAAATGGTTAGTAAGGCTTAAGTCAGATCCAAGACAAATTACAAAGGCTTCTCTGCATCCGTGGGAGCAGCTGTGCCAGAAGAATTTTCTGTAAGTAGTCTTATTGAAATTCACAACACAAGAGAAACTTGAAGCCTATTTAGTTGTTGCATTTCCCCAAAGGTTTTGAGCTGTTTACAATCAAACCCGGGACGCAATTTAGGCTGATATTCTCAGTATTGTCTGCAGTAATGTCCATGTACTTCACTTATTTATTATCATTATATTATGCATTAGGACTGACTTTACCTCCTCTCTCCCTCTTAAGTGACGCACTTGATGCCCTGGGCCTGAAGAGATACTGTTGTCGGAGAATGCTCCTTTCACATGTGGATCTTATTGAGAAATTGTTGAATTATGCTCCGTTGGAGAAGTGATTGTAACTGGCTTCCTCCAGGAACTGCATGGACTTTGTGGGGCTGTGGCATGGACAGATTCATTTTATTATTTTGATTTGTGACAACATGTTGAGGACAGTGAAGATCTGAAACATTAATTGTGCACCTATTTGATTATACATTTTTTTTCTAAATAAAGCTGTTATATGACATTGCTACCTGTATTACTGGTTTGTTTAGTTCCCATGATATTTCTTCTGAAACTATAATGAAAATTAGATCTCACGCTTGTGTTGCATCAGTGTGCATTGAAGCGAGGTGGCATCCTCAAATCTTGGAGAAAATGACTGGAAGACCCACATCAAACCAATGGAAAACTGGGTTAATCAAACTGTTTTGCAGTGCACATGAATCACTGTCTCTATCAATATTAACAAAAGTACATGGTCCCTTAGGTGTTTTGAGCGTTTTTAATGCCTTACCGGTATATGAACATACACGTATAGGAAATAAAATTACTAGATGATTTTTGTGGTCGTCAGTGAGCATATGTAATATGACCTAAATGCCAGAGGAAATAAAGCACTGGAATTATATTTTCAGGAAATGTTCTTTAATTTGTAGGTTTAATACAAAAGAAAGTGATGAAAACATTACACAGTATTACAGAATTTAATAAGAGGTGTTCCTGTGCATGCAAGCATTGAGCTCTGATGTCCCAGCAATAAATCTACAACCACATTTTTTTCATAAAACAGGAAAGCGTCCCAGTATGTTCAGATGAACAACAAAAAAAAGTACACTTTAGTCTTTTGGAGATACATCTTCGGTCTCACCTTAGATTCCTCCAGATTTCTATACAACTTGAGGCAGAAACACATAAGTCCTGTCTTCACTCTGATGCACACATGAAGAGACCACAAGTCTGGGGAGAAAAGGAACAGACTTTTCAAAGCCACATTAAGACAAATGAAATGTGAACTGTATTGGCCAACAACTTAATGTAGCAGGAGAGGATGAGGGGATTTGTGTTAATAGTCCTTAATACTATACTAGTGGCATGTTTATGCCAATAGCTGTGATTGATTTTAGATTCATTTTCCTTCAGTTTACACTGCACCTCACTATATATAGTCTATGCTATCAAGTTATAGCCACATGAGGTCTTATTCATAGACACATACTAAGAAGATGAAGAAAAATGTGACAATGATGCATTCAGAGTCTGATGACATAATTGGTTGCGGACTTTAAACAGTTAATTGCACAGTAATAACTTTGTACTAAAAATAACTATTTTACTGACCTTCACTTAATGAACCGTAATCTGTCAAAATGGTTTTGGGTGTGTTGAACTAGCACGAGGAACCACAGGCCTGTATGTTTTTTTTTTTTAAGCAATTTATCCAGTACAGCTTAAAACTTAAAATTATGTACATGTGATTTAATATATTTCTGTGTTGGCATAAAGTTTTATTCAATCACAATTGCAAGATATCTTTAACCACTTTTAAAATTGTTACCAGACAGTCATATTCCACCAATTTCATAATTTTCTACCTCACCATCTTAATAAAATAAAATATGAAGCAAGTTTTGTGTCATGATTGTTGAACCTTTTTATGTACATAAAACCTTTGATTAATCAGGCAGTCTCACTGAGAATAAGATCTGTGTTGTAAGGGACACCTGAGTACAGCAGAGGAAACAGAACAGAGATAAGACAAAACACAGCCAGTCACACAAGCACATACAAACAGCACCAGAAGCACACACACATCACACACATCACTTAAAAGGTCCAAAAGTTTAAATGCATCTTATTGGTTGAGACTTGCAAGTTTTAAAGTTCTTTACATTTAAATTATGCAAATTACTGGAGGTGAGTTTGCTCAAGTTCAGTATTTACTGGTGGAGTATCAAAAGTTGAAATCTGGTCTGAACAGTAATTTTAAATTTGAGAAGAGATTTGATAGACAGCTTTAGTATAAAAATGAAACAAAATTATGGTGTTTTTGACACTGAGCAATAAGCTGTTATTTCACTGAAGGCCATAGGGCTACCCAGTATATAACTGGAGTCCAGAGGGTTGAAGGTCGTGACCTTTGCTTAGATACAACATCTGTAGGTAGTGGAGTTCCTCAACAAGTGTTATTACTGTCTTCAATTGTACTATTTTGTTTATTATTGGGGTCACTAAGCATGCAAGCTGAAGGATGTTGTATGAGAGACACTAACCAACACCACTGTATGGCTCTGTGATACTAAACTCATGTCAAATTTTGGAAATTTTGGGTAGTCTCTTCTGGTGTAGTCATGCTGTACTTCAAAACACAGAAGCTCAATATCATGTAATAAGAAACACAGCTGTGGAACTGATAGAAAACACATGGCAAATAATAAAAAAAAGGTCTGATGGATGAAAAAGTAAAGTAATTATATAAATCAAGTAGAGGGAAGCTTACCAAGTCAGCGGTATCGGTCTCTGTGATCTCTGTGCCTTTCCCTTTCCCGTTCTCGTTCCCTTTCCCGTTCCCGCGGGCGCTCCATGTCTCTCTCTCCACTCCAGGAACGATCTCTGTGTCTACGAGACATTCCCACACCTTCCCAATCAGAGGAATCTTCTTGGTCCCGTTCTCTGTCACGCTCTCGCTCCCTGTCACGACCCCTGTCGCGGTCTCTTTCTTTGTCCCCAGAACGACTGCTACTCCTGCAAGGAAATTAGCATTTGTGTGATCTAGACTGATTAGAAAGCTAATGCTAGTTACATCCCCAGCTTCATTTTCCTGTATAAACAACAAAATGCATCATGTGTTAGAGCTCTGAGGCACAATTATACACACCTGTAGCCATAGTTGCCCTGGATAGAGACTAAACAGTCTTTGAGTGAGGTGACCAGGGCTTGACAGCGTTTATCTCCATACACTCTGGACTGCTTAATGATGGCAATGGCAGTTAATAGAGTCTCCATGGCCACCCGCAAGTCTCCTGCATTAGCAATTGAAGAGATTACATATGAGTGACATTTGCTTTTAAGTAGTTAAGCACTTAAAAGCTTCTAGGGTTACAGGTAATACAAAGTCATAAAAAATAGATCACATTTACACCCACATACAGTAAAGTCAAGCAAAAACTTCCACTTGTCTGAATGTAATGTTTTATCATAAATACAAAATAAAGATAAAAATGTAAAAAAAAAAAAAAAGTCTGCTTTGTCATTACAAATGAACTGTGTTTAATGAACTTTATCTATAAACAACAAAATACCAAAAAAAAAATCTCTTTACCATCCAATTCCATTGTGAGAGAGGTGGGGAACAGCTTTTTATTTAGATTTTTGTCATATGGCCACCAGTCATAAGTAAAAACCAGTCCTTTCACCACATGGCTCATTAAGCCCTGTGTTTTTTCTTCCACTTCACAGAACCTGTACTATATACTTACCAGCTGTTGCTCCAGATATAGCCTTGGATATGGCACTGCTGGCAACAGCTCTATTTCTGTTCATTAGCTCTTCAAAATCTCCACCTGTACTTTGAGATGTGTGTCTGAAAAATACACAGATAGTTGTCATACTAGCTGGCTATTATGTCATTACTTAACCACAAGTTATTGCTAACATAACTACTGCCATATTACTGCTCATGGTTTGCAATACGTATAAATTTAAAACAGTGCTCTCACTTTTGTTGGCTGTAAGCTTTGCTGCTGTGTCCATCTTGTGCCGGGGAGAAGAACGCTGGATTTATATGTAGACTAGGAGATGGTTGGCTACAAACATGGACTGGATGAGGAGGGAATAATGGGGGCGGCAGGGGCGGAGGGATGTTTGCAGGCATATGTGGGAAAGGTGGGGGTGGCTGACCAAGGAAAGGGCTGGGTAATGAGGGAAACCTGTTTGCAAGTGAACGTGATGGAAAAAGTGGAGGTATAGGGGGAGGGCTGGGCTCCTGTGATAATAATGAGGGAATCTTATCCGAAGAATCTGAGTCCTTGGAATCTTTGGAAGTAACACGTAAGGGTATACCTGTGGAGAATAAATTGTTTTAGTCAATGATGACAGTCCTAAATTATATTAAAAAATGCCAATAAATTCAATAGTTCTTAAGAATTCAATGCTCTTACGTTTATTTGCAACTTCCTCAAACACAGTGAGGTTCTGGCGAGTAGCAAAGCGACAGTCAATCCTTTCCCCATTGAGTTCACATTGGGGTATTTTTTCCAACAATAGTTTTAATGACTCTTCTGAGGTCACCACCACTTCTGCATAGCTGTATTACGGAGTAGAAGAAACAACACACGTATGGCTACCACAGAAAATACTTTTAGGATTTTTGGCCGGGCCGCAACAGCAGGACAAGCCCTATGATAGCAAATGTTCGTGAGTGAGTGAGTGTTTATAGAGTGATCATAATTGAGTTTCCCCATTGGCCGTTTCTAAAAGCAGTTTCTATTATGGGGGGCATTTACAGCCTACAATGTTGCCAACTTAGCGCATTTGTTGCTAGATTTATAGAACTTTTTTTTTCAAAAACAGGACTAGGTGTAAACCTAGTATGTAGCTGGAACGTGTATAGATGCCAACCGTGTGCTTAGGCCTACGTCTCTTGTTACAGGTAGTCACCTTGCCGCTCTGGTTTCCCGCTGCTCAGGAGCTGCGAGGAAATGGAGTAGCGCTTCGAATTCACTAATCCTCGGCTCCATTAGGACAAATAAACTACTTACATTACTTCATTACATGTGCCATTATTACTAAATGAGGCAGAGGAAAGAGAGAGCAGGAGAGTAGGAGGGAGAGAGAGAACCCTTCGATAACTGCTAAGCTAAAGAAACTAACAGATCTGAATAGCATAGTTAACAACAGAAACTATATGTGACCCATTCATACACTAGGTTTTGACCTAGTCTGATTTTTATCTATATTTTATAAACACTAGATGTGCAACCACTCACCCTCTTGACTGACCATTAACTCTGTTCTCAGCGAATTTGATCTCTTTGACATCCTTCACACCCAACGTTTGGACCATGCACATGAGGTCCTTGTCAGATGTCCACTGCAAGTATTTGCAGGTTTGGGAAGAGGGGATGAGAAAATAACAGGAGGGTAAACAGTTACTTTTGATCCTGATGAATAGTAAGACTGTTGCAGAAGCAGAAATTGAGTTGATTGACAGAATGTGACTCATGAGGTACTGGGTCAAACCTTTTGTGTTTATGAGGATATATTTTGAAAACTTAGAATACTCACTGTCATTAAAACAGGTATCTCGACGTATCTGCTTAACTTGAGACTCGCCCCTGAATGAGCATGGGTTTTATTTTTGCATCACTTCCCTTTTTTAAGGCAGTTCATCAACACAAGCAAAAGTAAAAGTCCACTGGAGATCTTTTGTGAAGTACAGGATGTTTGGCCATTATAATAAATAGTGTTAAACATTCCCCTTGAAATTACAGCGTTTTGAGCTGATGAAGAGACAAACCCTGTCATAAAACAGGAATTTTAAAGGGAGCATCAAACAATCTTGTGAGTCCTTGGAGTGCAAAAACCAGTTACAGTTTTTTTTTTTTTTTAATTTGGAATCAATACGTGGACAAGACAGATGTGTTTTGTACATTGGTAAATCTTAACGCAACTGAAGACCGAGTAGATGCACACTGTATGTATTCAAAAAAGTGCCTTCTGAGGCTACATCTCACTCCAGCCAACATACCCCTGTCCTATTCATACTCCTCACCTCTAGAGTGGAAGTGGACTTTTAAAATCACTCTGGCCATAAATGAATGGCTTTTCTTTTACTGAGGTATTGCACACATACTATCACCTCTTTTCAGTTTCAAAGTTACAACAGAAACTGAACAATATAAGCTGAAATTTAATGCTGCACTGTTATATTAGACTGAATTCATTTTAGCTATGTGTACCAAACAAACTGACAACTGAATGTATGTTGCCTCTTCTGCACATCAGAGAGGGTGTATGGCGTAAAGAGGTGCACATTTGAACACATTCGAAATGATGAATGAAGAATTTATGTGTTGTGAAAACTGACAACATACTACAACAATACCAACTGTATAGTCTGGTAGATTGTTTTATTTGACTTGGCATTATATTTTAGTTTCTGAAATGAGACAACTACATAGAAATGGAAATTGTGAAGCGAAAATAAATGCTTTTTCTTCCTTTTGTTAAGTCCATCTGCTTATACTGTATCTCAGTACTGCTCATTTAAGTTTTCATAATAGGAGATATGGGAACTTATTTCTCTATATTGTTTAATGTAGACAGTGTACAACAAGCCCATATGGACAAAACAACTTAAACTGCACTGGACAATACAATAAAAATGTAATCAACATTAACGCAGAGTGAGCTTTACTCACCCACGGGAAATTTCCAATATATAATGACAGTTTCCTCAGTGAATTTCCTCCTTTCAGGGTTTTCACTGCTGTTGATTTAGATTCCTCTTTAACTTGTGTCTCCTTAAGAGGGGGCACTTGAGTAGTAACTTTCTTCTCCTGATCAACTGAGCCAGTCAGGACAGCATCAAAAAGTTCATTTGCTTCAGCAATTCTGCTCAAATCCTGTGCAGGATAGAAAATAACAAAGTCATCTTACATGTTCTCATCCTGTGTATCTCAATGTGCAGAGCATCATTGAACAAAACACTACAAGAAGAAATGTAAATCCTAGGGGCCAGCTGCAGGGAGTGTGGACCGGGTTTTTGTTGAAACTGAATGCTGAATCAACCGTATGATCACTTTAGAGGCTGAAGTTTGTGTTGCTTTTGAACTGTGTTGTGCTGACAGGTGTTCCTTTTACTATTACCATCCCATTCAAATTGACGCGGGCAGGCTAAATAGTAGACACCTCTTTGTATAATGCAATACAGTTCATCAGCACCACAAACTATATCCTTCAAAATTATCATATGATTGAATCAACACCTCTCTAACACAGTTTCAACAAAACTTCAACTTTATGACCTCCATGAAGGTGGGACTTAACTTATCGCATGCCTCTTGTATTAGACTGCATTCATTTCAGCTAGGTGTTCCTAATAAACTGATAACTGGGTGTATGAGAGCACAACTTTAAATGAAGATGGGCTCCAGTGATATTTTACCTGAGGGTATGAATGTCTGAATAAGGAGACGTAGTCTGCCGTTTTATTTAGGTTACAAATACTTTCTAACTCTGTGTCCAATGTAAAGGGTTGTTGGTGCAGATGCATCTTAACTCTCTCTAAATAAAGATGAGGAAAATAAAATGCCCCCAAACACACACACAAAAAAGACAAACTCTAAACAGCATCTGAGATCAGTTCACACAAGTATTGAATGAAAAGGTGGATTTAAACTCCACCATAGCGAGGTCCACACGGCTGTGCAGCTCTCTAAATGCTCTTAGTGCATTTTGCTGCGATGAAAGATATGAACTCACCTCCTCGTTTTGATTCAAATCACTGTAGACATCTATGAAATCCTTGGAAGTGCTTGGTCCGGCTGCGGCTCCTGCAGCAGCCATCCCGTGGGCCTAGGAGATGATCTGTCTGATGGCACTGCAGCTTGTTTAGTTTTTTGTTTTATTTGCTTTCAGAGTAGTTCTCACATGCACCTTGGCTGCAAATTATCCGTGCATACCGACAACAGGTGCACCGTCAACATTCAGTAATTGTTGTCAACGTTACGCCTCTCTACCGTTTCTAGCATTCTAACAGTTAGCTAACGCTGCGCTCGTCCGTAAACATAACTTAAAAAAAACAATATGACGACAAACCGAGAATACGACAAGCGCATATAAGAAATTATATTTTTAATGAAAACTTTGAAAATACATGCACAGTACTTCATGTATGAGTGCATACACAAGAAGTTTCTGACTAGTGGGGGTTCGCTCTCTGAACAGCTAATGCTAATGTTGCTAGTGAACATTTAAGTGCGTCAGGGCGATTGAACCGGTTGACAACAACATAATTATTTGGTTCCTATCACCAAGCCCCTTTAAATGCTGACGGCACGAGGGGTGGATTTAATCGTTATACTGATAATGTTAGACAACTTAAAATACACCAATAAAGGAATGACCTTTAAATATACTTCATTTACGCCAATTATGTCCTCTCCCTAACTAAACATTACTGATACCTTAGCAATATGGCGAGATGTGTGCGCAGCCTCCAGTCGTCCCCTCGTTAGTTTCCCCTGACGTGCAAGCTGCTTGTGTAATTTCTCTGTTGTGTGTCTGACATTCAGACATCGGTAACAATTTTCACAGAGGAGGATCAGTTCATCCACTTGTCTCTACGTGGCAGAAAAAGAAGCGTTAAAATGCTGTCGTCTTTCGTTGCGAAAAGAGTGAGTTATCGAGTAAACGTTACATTTATTTGTACATTTGTTGGTTGAAGTTTGGGTGCTGAAGCCGCCGTAACTGTAGAGCTCGTCGAGGACTTTTAGGACGTTAAATTATATGATGTGATCTGTTATACATTAATACGATTTCGCAACTATATATTTATGTTGAAAACAGTGATTCTTTTGTTCAGTCTTTTGATGTTCTAGAGTTACACATTATGAGCCCAGAAGCAGACAGCGTGTGCTGCTGCAGGACAGTTGTACAACAGTGCAGCGTGTGATAGATATTATGCAATTCCCCCCTGCCTCTCTCCTTCATGACTGACTATTGATTTGAATATGTGTCTTCTAACTAAACTTAAATTTTTTTTTCGAATGGAAAACATTTCGACCGCATTAACTAAATTAAGAAACAAATAGTTAGAGTTACGTTTGATTACTATGACTGCTCTTACATTGACATCGTTTTTGATCTAATATCTGAATAAGCACCAGAGACATTTTTAGGCAAAAAACAAAACAATCTGATGTGAGAACAAAGGGAGAGCACAGCATTTTTCAGCAGATTTTAAACAGATTGCACAGTGAAGTGCTTGACTTGTCACATGTGCTGGGTGTTATAGACCATGGCACAGGTATTTGTTCCAACGTGTGTTTTTGTTGCATGTCAGCTGGTGACAGGGTTGTGCCAGGCAGCATGGAGACCAGCAGCTGCAGGGCTGGTATCATCTCGTGGTTACCGCGGAGACGCGCCGGATGACACCAGGGGTGACCTGATTGAGATCCCTTTGCCACCTTGGGAGGAGAAGCCCGGTGAGCCCACTGACATCAAGAGGCGCCGACTTGTCTATGAAAGTCGCAAGAGGGGCATGTTGGAGAACTGCATATTGCTGAGGTTGGTAAACTGTGCTGTTTTTGTCCCATCCGTCTGTCATGTAGCCATACTGGAGATTTTTGTTGTTGTTTTTTTTTCTCACCTCATGCTTAAAGGATAGGTTCACATCTTTCAAGTCTGTCTTATAACAATATTCATTTCCTGTGGTCACTTCAATTGTTCCTACTATCCACACTGAATGCAAAGATATTCCCTCTTAAAGCAATTTCTGTTTAAGTGATGGGGGACACAGCCTGCAGTCATAGTTGTGCTGTGGTAGAATTATTCATTTATATTCATCATTTATATAATTATAAGTTCAGCTGCAAAAATACTTAAGAGCAGGTGTGCAAGTTATAAGCTCAACCAGTATTTAAGGTTCTTGTAGAAGGTTTTTACATCCTGCTGCACTCTCTAATTTAAGTTCCTAGTGTTGAGTCCATTCGGCTGCTCAGATAATTACCAGCAACTATGACTTTCCATTTCGAGAAAAGGCTCAGACTCAAATGTATTCTCCACCTCTCTTGTAGCCTATTTGCAAAGCGATACCTGAACACAATGAATGAGAACCAGCTGCAGCAGTATGACAGACTGATCAATGAACCAAGCAATGACTGGGACATCTACTACTGGGCAACAGGTGAGAGAACCGTGCTGCTTCTTTTACGATATTGCCTGTACAGTCTCATGCAGTTTAGCACACATAATACATTAAAGCAGTGAGATGGCAACTGATAGACTCCCATCAAGAGAAATATCAAACACTGATGGGAATTTTAGATACTCACACTGCAAAGCATTTGAATATTTCATGACATAAAACATTTCAGCTTTGCAATATTAATGCTTCTAAGAAGTACAAATAACAAATGTTTGCTTTGAGTTGTTGTTTTGTGTTAACAGTACACACAGTAAATCAGACATACTCATTTTAAATTCCATCTGTAACGCCATAAAATTCAGAAAACTCCATTGGGCATAATATTTTTATATAATATTATATATTCTTTTCTGGCAAACATTCATGGTTGCTAATTCCAAAGTTATGAAAAGCTCTGCTTACAAATAAATTTCAGCTCGGTACCTGTTTTTTTTTTTTTTGTTTGTTTTTTACCATTCCTTTTGGTCTGGACTTCACCCTGGGAGCTCATTCGCTGTACCAAGACAACTTACCAATTTATTCTTCTAGTGTTCTCTAAATTTGATTCAGTTAGGGTTGTTTCATTGTGCATAACAGCTGAAAAACAAAATCAGTGTGACAACAGCATGAACACATCCAACTGGCTGCAGCACTCTGGAAAAAACAAAAACCTTTGCAGACAGTCTTGACTTTACTGAAACAAATAATTATCACGCTATTACTGTGTGCATTTTACTTCTTACAATCAGCAGCAAAATATCGTCATGTCTGAGTCAGCCTAACAAGGTGATGTTAGAAGGGCTCCTCTCTGTGTGCTCATTGTTCCTCAGCTATCTGTCTCATGATTAATCCTCTTGCATCAAATAAGAATCTATAATCTCAATACGCTTTACCCTCCCAATTAAGATTTTGAAGAAGATAATTTATGAACTGAAAATAATTACACTTGATCTCTTTTTGCTTACAGAAGCTCAGCCCACCCCTGAGGTTTACCAGGGAGAGGTCATGGATATGCTGAAGGAGTTCACAAAGAACCGCAACCATGAACAGAGGTTGGACGCTCCCAGCCTGGAGTACCTGGAAAAGGAAAGCCAGTGAGGTGCACGGTCCTCTGGACCTTCTCAGAGACTCATTTATGGTGGGGCACTGAGTGAATATCAGTATCCCTCCAGATCCTCCGGAAGTCTGCTGTGTTTCTCTTGCTACACACAGCAAATTGTACAAAATATTGTGGGGTGCAAAATATTTGGAACACTTTACAATCTCTTACTGTTCACCTGATTCAGTGAAATATCAGCTAGAGCAGTTGGTCATTAAAGGGAGAGGAAGATTTGTGGAAAATTCAGGGGAAGTTTGTGGATCAGAAAAAGACTGATGCACCACGATGTTAGAAATGTGTTATGAATATTTTGCAGTAATTGTTTTGTGATTTAAGACTGTAATTTAAAACTGCTCAATGTGTGAGCTGCATTCTGGATAAGCCAGCGATCAATAATAGATACAAGCTGATCTGTAAAATGATTTCACTGTGCCTATTACAGACATTATGGGTTATTTAATAAATGTTGATCCTCTTATGTTTCTTGCTTATGTTGTTTCTTTCTGACAGTTATCTTTTACCACTGGATTGGACCACATGACTGGAGGGTAACATGTTTGACAGTGTGAACCGTATTTGTTACATAACACGAGTTGTGTTGCCAGCAGTGTCTGTTAGTGGACACCAGATGGCAGCAGATTACTTTAATTTCAGTGACTCAAATTGAAGCACATGCTTATCTCTCTATGGCAAATGGGTCGCCTGTAATCTACATATATTTCACATACTTTATTTTTTATTGGGGATACAATATGAAAATATCAGTCCGCAGCGACCATATTTTATTTGACTGGCCATCTGCTGAGAACCGTTTTATGCAGAGTTAGAGATGATGAAAACTGAGGTGAAGGCTGTGTGCAAGCAGTGTTTTTTTTTTTTTAATATAGACAAAGTATCACAGGAATTTTCTGTCAAGCCGAGGGTCCAAATAAACTACATACAGTCTCACTCACAGCCATTCAAGATTGTACTGTTTTTCTCAGCAACACTGGATCAGTGTGTGTGTTGATTATAGGGAAGATGTCTTGCCTGGCTGTGTATCATGTCGGTTCAGTGGAACCTTGTACTGAGAGCAGAAAGGGAAATGCCCTCTGGCCTGGAGATGTGCACTGAATCTCAAAACAGCTTGTGTACGCCCACTGAATTATAATGAACACATGATATACCATCGAGGTGTTACAAAAACAAGGACCAAGACAAATGGGGACGTGTATGTTCTTTCTCATCACTTTGAATGGAAAATATGTTGAGTAAGAATCCCAGTTTTCAATTTTTATGTTGTCAGCTTGTCCTAAAATAGACTGCGGTGATGTCACAAGGGTTCCCCTCTGTGTGCGCTTTGCTCCTCCGCCATCTGTCTCACCAAATATCTTAATCGGTGGTGGAAAGTAACTAAGTGCATTCACGCAAGTACAATTTTGAGGTGTTTGTACTTTGCTTGAGTGTTTCCATTGTCTTTCCTTTTTCTCGACAAATATCGTACTTTTATTATACATATACTTTTTACATTACATTTTATGACAGCTATAGCTAGTTAATTCTAAGTTAAGTAAGATTTTACATGAAAATAAACATATAAAATGCAAAAGCAGTGTCCAGTTGGGGCCATTACGCAGATGGTGTCAAAAATGTTTCTCTTACTTATCCAATATTTCACAAAAAAGCAAAGATTAAAGGTGAGTCTAAAAGATGAATTCAAACACGTAGTAGAATTTATTTTTTCTCTCTCTCCTCTCCCACTAATCATCTCACACCCCCTTCAGATTTCTCTTGTTTACCCTGTGGAGGGGCCCTGATCCCTAGACTGGGCACAACTGGACTAAAATACTTAAATGTGTACCACGTATTAGCAACCAGATCCACCTCAGTCAGCTACGTTAAAATGCTGCTTAAATATTGATGCATCCATTTTAACTATCTAATAATAATGTGTATAATGATGTAATATATAACACAGATCAGTCTCTGGGGCCACTTTGTGCAGAATGAGTAAATTTGATTATTTACGTACATTTTGCTGCTAATATTTCTGCACAGTGTTTTTACTTTTTTTTTTTTTTACTGGTAAGTAAAGGATCTGAATATTTCTTCCACCTCCAAGCTTACTTCAGAAAATAAAATGGGAATTTAGAAGGTTTAAAATTGAATCAAATTCTGCCACCTAGTTGTGCCTGTGTAAATATCCTGCACGGTGTACTACATTTTATTTGACAGTAGTTGAATGTGGACCATTGCTGACTTTAACAATTCCAACAAAAAAAAAAAAAAAAAAGAAAAGAAAAGAAAAAAAGAAAGATTGCCACCTGTGGATCCCACATGCTGGGAAGCACAATTCACGGCATTATTGCGCTGAGGCCTGTTTAAAGTGTGTATTCATCAGTTGCCTACGCACACCCACTGAGCCTATCTGTAGCCCAGCGCTCCTGTCATCCTCCACTGCTGCTTCCTGTGTCGTGACAGTTCTCTGTTTTATCCACAGCCTTGCCGTCACCCTATGCTCCCCTGGAATTTCAATCTCATGTTCTCATGTTTCCTCTCTCCTCCACCACCAGCAGCGTCCCTCTAGCCTTCATCTTGTCTTCCCATGTCTGCTAGAGAGTCGTGATCAGAGGAGCGCAAAGGGAAGCTGCTCTTGAGAAAGGAAGGTTGCCAGGTTTAACGTTGTGGATGGAAGTGTTAGATGAGTTGCTAAATTATACATGTACCTTTCTCAACATTACATGCACTCACAGTTTTTCTCTTAGATGTTATCTTGTGTCGAAGATGCAGTGAAGCGCAATGTGTAGGAGGCAGAACAGACAATTTCCTTAACTCTAGAGATCAGCAGCAAATCTAAAGTTCCATATTAATTATACATTAAAATTTAAGTCCTATCTCTGCCTGAGAGAAGAAAATAGAAAGCAAATGTGGTGGTGTATTTCCAGCTGTGACTTTGCAATTAAACCGCTGCAAAACAAGTTGATGATATCAACACCCAAAATCAGACTGAACCGGGATTGACAGTGAGTTAGCAGCAAGTCTCTGTGAAATTAGTTACTTCACTGAAAACTGCGCCTAAATGAATCTAATCTGTAAAGGTGTTCAGTACAGTTTTTAGTTGCTTCAATATTTCCTTTTAAGTTGCAGTGTACTTCTACAAGGCAACATCTCTTCTACATTTCAAATATTGCGATATGTTTTTACTCTACATTTATTTGACAGCTACCATTTCAGGGTAGAATTTTATAACAAAAACATAAGTTTAGAAATATCATGTATTATTGAAGATTAGTTTCCTTTTTGGCTTGTGACCCCTGACAGCCCTCCTTCCTGGTTGTAGCTGTTAGGAGATCCACTAAAGACTGATTTCTCCTCAAAAATTCTCAGATGTTTTTTTTCTTTTTTCAATAATTTTTGAAAGTAAAAAGGATAAAATAATTATTTCACAAAAAAGTCTAAAAAATTTATACGATTTGAATTTGAATACAAATGTATAGAAGAAGATCATTTCTTTTTCTTCTTTCCTACTTGATTAATCATATCACAACCTCTCAGATTTATCTAAGAGGGGCCCCAGCCCGTGCTGTGAATCACTGATACCTAGATGTACACTATACCTAGAGTAGTTACAACTACAGTATCTCCACCTCGGGCTACAACAGTACTTTAACAAGAATTTTAAACGAAGGACTTGTAATGGGACATTTTTACATTAATGTAAAGTACTTGTACTTAAAATAAAGGATGAGAATTGTCCACTGCAGAACAACTCTTGAATAAACCTTTTTGTGTTAATACATGTTTGACCTTAAAAACTGCTGAAAACAAGCTTCTGAAAAATTCATAACAATACCAGACCAGAAGTATCTTTGTTTTATATACACATTTATATTTTTATATACACTGTACAGATTTCAAAAAAATAAATGGTTGATATTTAACATTGTGCACCCCACGGATGTGTGACTACAAAGAGAAAAGAGAGTGAAAGAGGGGGCTGAGTGATACCAAGTACAGACAGATATCAACAACCCCAGTAAATACGGATGATTTTTTTTTCTTTCTTTTTTCATACAGGACACTTCACAATCATTTGTACAGTATATAAATTAAAATGTTGCTGGTTAACCTCTCTTTGTCTCAAGCAGAATGCCCTAAATCAGAAATGCGAGCTTGTCGGCTAAAATTTACCAGTGTGTGGTATTAGGCCAGTGAGGAGTGGAGAAAGACGATTCTAGCTCCATTTCTTAAAACTAAAACATACCAAACCCTGACTGACATTTAACCAATATTTAAGTTGCATTGCTTGAAGTGACTTTCACTAAGCCTTTGGAATGTAACGCTTTGTCAGCAGCTTTCAAAATAATGCCTTGTTTAACACACAGGGCCATCAGGACAGACAGATGACGGTGTTCCTGGTTATTTTGGGATGCTCCGATGCTCTGCTCTGACCTGAGATGTAGCTAACAGTGATGCAGAGAGGTGATGATTATCTCCTGTCTCACCTTTTTTTCCTCCCCCCTCACTGACACTTGGAGAGGGAGCGCATATGGTGAAGAGCAAGGCGTGGCGGGGTTCATAAGGCACACACAGAACACTGTGCCAGAAAGCATGTGTGCACAACGGGGGTGTTTAAGGGGGAACGTCAGCTGTGATGTTAGGGAGCCACCCTTCATATTTTTTGGCCTTGGCGAATCAGGTCGGACCAGATAGGAATGACAGAAAGGACAAAATGTCGGTAGCTGCTTCTGTCTGAACTCAAAATCTGGTGTATGGTGGTGAAAGGAAACAGGTTTTATCTCGGGTGGCGTAAAGCTGGTTTGTGACCTTTTTCGTTTGACCTTCACTCGGAGCTCATGTATAACAGATTTTTCCTCCTCCCAAACCAAACGTCCTTCTGAACCACACATGAGGACAATGACCCTGCTATGAAGAGAGGTTTGTTCCAGCATTGTCGTCAACAAGTGCAGTGATTCTCAAAGAAGTGACAACCTTTAAAAAAACATATTTCTTTGTACATCTGGATTGTTTCATACAGAATAAAAACGGTAAACAATGTTGTTTTGTATTAAACTGGCAAAATAGAACTCAGTGCAGATATACACACAAAGGGACTCACAGTAAACACAATCACACAAACTGAAGTTCAAATATTGACACTCACCCACAGTGCAAACACACACACACACACACACACACACACATACACACATCCAGTAGACAAAAACGAACAGTGGAATGTAGAAAGACTTTTCCCCCCCAGATATTATTACTCTGATTTGTTTCCATTCATCCTCTGAACATGTGTCCATATGGGACTTGGGGGAGGTCACATTCAGGCAGTGAAGCTAACAACTGGAAGACTGACCTGTATTTAACTCAAAACCACCAAGACTACACAAAATCAGGTCTAACATCGTCCTTTGACTCATAGTTCTCTGTAACAATGAAAAAGAAAGAAGGGTTCTGTCATGCCTGTTCCTGTTCTAGGTTTAATGC